CACTCAAGATGGAGGCAGGAAAACCGCGACTCCAGCCAACCGGCGAGAGTCATGATTACAAGACCAGTAGAACTGCCATCCATCTTCAATGAACTGATGTACTAGGCCTGGTAGGTGGGTCTCCGAAAATCTCAGGACATTCACTTTGTGTCCTTCTCGCGCTGTAGCTAAATTTCATTGTTCAACGTTCCCACCCTTCAGCAGGTGGCACACAACTTCTTCCTGCAGAAGCTGAGTTTCTGCAAATAAAATTTCTTAGTAAAGTTGGTCGAATCACTTTGTGAAAGTATCCCCCCCAATCGGACAGGTTTCGAAAACAGCGCATGGCGAAAGAAAACCGAGATGCTGCCGGTTACCGGCACGAATAATGAAACAGTGCTACAGTGTTTATCACAGTAACTACATGGCTGACAACAAATCAGCCTTCACCAAGATACAGAATGATTTCGCAAAAACGCAAATTAGTGTTACGTATATTCGCTCTATTCAAAAGCAAAATACCATAAAAATATGCCACACATGGAAATAAACTGAACGCAACAAATCTAGTTTTTCTTTGCTGCATGCGAGGAAAATTAATCTAACTAAAATGTTACTCGGACCTCATTCTAAAATCAAGGGCAGCTAGGATATCCGGTCAGATATCTTGTCGATGTGGAGAAAGCACAGAATACACTCCTAAAGAGTGACAGGGGCAGAGCGTTTGGCCATCGAACAGCCTCGGTGAGTAAAATGAAAGCGTTAACCTTAACAGTCGAAAAGCACGATGAACCTATTCAGTGCCACAGATCCGCAGGTCAACAGGAAAGTAATATAGCACAATAGATCGATCAACTAATGTACCGCAGATCTATCACTTCCAGCGATGGTACCAGTCAGAGTTAAACAGTAAATCATTACTCTCAGAGGTCATGGAAGCTTATTTAGCATTCCGGCTAACAAAGCAATACCTTTTCCACAAATACTAGCTCCTGCATCTTATTCAAGTACGAACAGGGTCGTTATACTTTACACCGATGCAAGGACTGATTCCATTCCATCCGGGGAACAAATTGAATGGATATAAGCCTTTCTGCTAATTATGTGAATTTTTCATGTAGTGAAAGAAGACGGCTGCTAAGCCAGCATGAACATTGATGAAGAAAATAGGGGAAAACTTGCGCTCAGAGAAGAACTGTTCATCTATGACGATTCAAATATTGCCTTTTAGAAGAAGTGTTGAAATGCAGTGGAACTGCATGCAGAAGACGTTCTACAACTACTTTAAAGACTCAAAACGTCGATAACAATAGTCAGTAAGAAATGCAGCGAAGCGCTGTTCTGCGTTCTGAACTGAATTCATTTCGTCCTTATAGCATTTTTCCACAAAATTCACTCTATTCAAATAGAGCAGATGGCATCAGGAAAGAATTTTATCAAACTTAGAACGCATACATAGGTTTATCGTCACCAATCGTCCCTCCGCGTTAGAAGTCAGAGTTTCTCTGCATTAAACGA